TAGATCATTGATCTGATACAATAAAAAATATAATATTTGCTGTATCATTATATTTGCCTTATCATTGAACCTTACAGACAGTGCCACATTTAAGAATTTGAGAGTGTACCACATTAAACATTTATAAAAGCTATAGAGCAAATGGTACCCTTGCAAAACAAGTTCAGGAATTTAAACCTACTTTCACAAATTGCATATTGCTCTATAAAGTAAATAGGTTTTAACAAACTTGAAAGAGGAAGCGATATCATTATGGGTTCTTGAATATGCTTTCATTACATTGATTTTTATACAGATATTAGATCTTATCAACTTTTTATCGTCAACCGCTTAGAAGTAGAAATAATAATTTCATCAACTCTACTAACTGAACTTATGGCTGCCATTTGCAGTCCAAGACTGTGACACAATCCTAAAGTTCGAAAGCTGAACAATATATGGTAATTTGTATAGTACAAAGGGGGTTTATTTATGAAATCATGTGAGCACATTAGGAGTGAATACAGAGTATTTGTCTTTGAGAACAAATAAGCTCACTCAGAAACATTCATTCAAAGGAGATTTCTGAATCAATACAGTAAAAGCAAAGCTATCCATACAGATCTGGCAACCAGAGACCTACTTCACAATATTGGGAGGCACCATCCTCAAACAATACGGCTTGTCATGGTGAAGACCAAATCTTACAGATCCAGGCAGTCTAGTCAGGTGACATGCATGTTTATAACACCATAGGTGTTTAGACACCATATAAATGGTTAAAGCGGCCTTCAAACAATCAAATTTTTCATGCTGCCTAATAATATCAGAAGAATTAAAGAATCAAAATTCTGAATAAAATTCAAGCTGAATCCCCAGCAGATAAACATTAGAGGTTCACAGAAAATAACCTTTCAGGTTCAAGATATCTTTGCTCAGGCACAGAATCAATGCACTGAGCCAGCCTTGAGTTGACTGATGTCTACTGTGGAGCTGCAGTATTGCTACTTCAAAGTTCTACATATCAGTTACCAGATGGCACAGACATACACTTAAATTGAATATGCTTGAGCAATCCAGGCACTGATCATTAATCAAGAGACGTTAGAAAGCTCGCCACCTGCATACTCTAAAGCGGGACTTTGGGCAAAATTTCAAACAATGAAAATTGCCCCAAAATGGTGTAGAATATAATGCTGATTTTGTCTACGGGATGATCTAAAACCAAATCCCATACTTTACTTTATGGTGCTGCGACTGCTGGCAGTCCTTCCTCCACTCTGTAGTGCCATACACTCCAAGACCAGTGGAGGTCACTGGTGGAGTAGTAAAATGTGGAGTAAGGTAACTAAACCACTGATTTAGATAATCTCCTAGACAAAATCAGCATTGTCTTCTGCATCAGCTGGGTGGGTTCCCAATTTTAATTGTTTGGCCTTTTGCCAAGAGTTAGGCTTTAATTGAAATGCAGCTGAAGTTGGATCATTACTTAAGGCACACATATGACTGTGGTGGTTTCCTACAAATTCACATCTGTCTTTGAGGAATGTATTCTATCCAACAAATATTATCTGTATAATGAAGCTCAAGTTAAAAAGCAATTCTATGCAAGAGCTGAAATCAACCAGTGACATTCAAATAAGATCAAGAAAGCAACAGAATTGTGCTTAAATCAGAAAGTTCACTCAAGTCACATTAGTTCTTTGTCACCACAACCCAAAGAGCCCCTCTGAAGGTTGCTGGGAATGTCTGGAATCATGTGCTGTGTTAATTTCTCTCTGTTTCTGTACCAAACACATTTGGGTACATAAATGGAAAAAGTGATGGGCTTGTGTTCACTTTAAACAGGTTTTGAATTCGCAAACAAGTGTATTGGGAGGAAAAACCCACATGAGGCAGTTCAAATGTAGCTCAGAAGGCGGTCAATTGCAGGTCAAATGCACCTGTCGATTAATTCTGAATGATCTCAAATGCATGTCTAACCCATGGCATCGACACAAGCCTACAGCTCCTCGACAAAGGCCCATAAACATACAAGTCAGCACTGAATCTGATTGGTGGCTGTGGGAAACTTTTTAGTACTGGAGGGTTTTACATTTGGTTTTATTATGTGAGAATAAGCTCAGAGCCTACAGAGGATATCTTTTGAAACAATTTCCCTGCATCACAACATGGGTTCTGCGATCACAAAATTACCAGTAAAAGCATGTGGGGACTACTGATGTACTACAGCAATGACTCAGTCAGAAACTGAAATAATAGGCTGTTCTGCCTGTATATATTTCATAATACATGCTACGTTTTGACAGGAGTTTGCCTTGAAAGGTTTAAGAAGTATAACGTTCACTACAGTATCATCTCTAACATAAGTAAACCATTACATTTCTTAGAGAATACATTTTTGTAATCATTCTAATTCCATCTGCTACTATGCTGGGTATAAAACTGGGGTAGTATGTAGTTTACAAATGCAGATTTGCCCTAATGAAACTGCTAGTTGCCTGGCTGTTATGCAATACTTTATGATTAACTGACCTGAAACAAGTACGCAGATAAGCACTTTAGAATTCAATTGCTGCAAGCTTGTTCCAGGTCAGTGACTCAAAGTATCGAAGCCCGAAACAACCAGTCAAGTAGCATTTTTCAAAATGCTTATTCAAAATTACTTCTTATACTGAACACCATCTAGCACAAATCTGTTAACTAAAGATAATATTCCCAGACAACTAATAAGGAGCGATACATGCTAGACTATATGAAAGAAAACATGAAGATGTCATTGTAAACAAGAATTCCCTTCATTATACAAATGTAATTAAAGGAATGAGCAATTAGAAGGAATTATTTAATTAAATGATCAGTAGACATCAGCAGAATCCTAGTTGCTTTTTGTTTGTATATCCCTCACAAATGTCTGCTATTATGTAATTGTTATAGCTGTAAATTAGCCTTTAAAATGTTTTTCATTCTATCCACTTCAGTAACTAGTGATTCCTTTTTCACAACCCAACAACTATAGGTAAAACAAAATGCACATCCAAAGGGATAGTTGGAAATGTGATTGACAAGAGGGTAAACCACATTAATAGAAGGCATTTCATGGTACAGCAAATACGGTAATTAAAAGAACTTGTTAAAAGGAATTTGTAACTGATCAGAGAGCACACGAGGAATTTGAAACTGGCACAGAATGGCTGATGGTTGATTGGGGGCCCTGTGACAGAGAGATGGGCACTGGAGAGGGACACTGTAACTGGAGAGTTGCACTGTGGCTGATGGTGTAGGTGCTGTGGCTGACAGCAAGGCATTCTCTTACTGATGGGGTAGGTGTGTGACTGAGGGGGTAGGCAAGTGACTGATGGGGGGAGATGCTGAGACTGATAAAGGTAGGTGCTGTGAGTTATGGGGTAGATGCTGTGACTGATGGGGATAGCTGTGTGACTGATGGGGGAAGGTGCTGTGACTTATGGTTGTAGACGATGTTATGGATCGGGGTAGGTGTTGTAACTGATGGGAGAGGTGTAATGACTGATTGAGGCGGTGCTGTAACTGATAAGGTTAGGTGTTGTGACTGAGTGGGGTTGGTGTTGTGACTGATGGGGTAGGTGCTGTAACTGATAAGGCTAGGTGTTGTGACTGAGTGGGGTCGGTGCTGTGACTGATGGGGGTACTGTGACTGATGGGGTTGGTACTGTGACTGATGGGGTAGGTAATGTGACTGATGGGGGTACTGTAGCTGATGGGGTAGGTGCTGTGAACGATGGGGCGGGTGCTGTGACTGATGGTGTAGGTACTATGACTGAGAGGGGTACTGTGACTGATGGGGTAGGTGCTGTGACTGATGAGGTAGGTACTGTGACTGATGAGGGTACTGTGACTGATGGAGTGGATGATGTGACTGATGGGGTAGGTGTTGTGACTGATGGTGTAGGTGCTGTGACCGATAGGGTAGGTACTGTGACTGATGGGGGTACTGTTACTGATGGAGCGGATACTGTGACTGATGGTGTAGGTACTGTGACTGAGGGGTTGTACTCTGACTGATGGGGTAGGTGCTGTGACCGATGGGGTATGTACTGTGACTGATGGGGATACTGTTACTGAAGGGGTGGATGCTTTGACTGATCGGGTAGGTTTTGTGACTGACGGTGTAGGTACTGTGACTGATGGGAGTACTGTGACTGATGGGGTAGGTACTGTGACTAATGGGGTAGGTGCTGTGACTGTTGTTCAGTTATGTACTGTATATCAGAAAAAAAAGTCCCCTGTCTCCATTATTAAACAAGTGCCAACAAATACATTGCATGTACTGGATGATATATGGAGTATTGTGTACAGATGCTTATAACCAAAAACCAGATAATACATGTTCACATATCAGTATTTGAATTGAGCTTTTCAGTTCATGTTTTGCCCATATTGATGTCACTGCAGTCATTTGCCTGGTATTTTTTCAAATATGATACTTTTGTTTCTCATGACTTTTCTGTTTTATAGGCATAGGTTGTCCCTTAGTACTTATGGCATAGACCAGTCCTAAGCAGCCCAGAGAAATTGTCCTTTCTGGAATGGTAGGCTCTCACAACAGCTCAGCATAGATGTGGTTTATTTTCCTTACGGGGACGTCTTGCTACATTACAGATACTGTATTCCCATGGAAAATCATCTAGGTCTGAGTGCTGCAATTCTCCCATGAGCCAAAAGTGCACATCAATGGCATTTAATTTCAGTCTCTTGTGATAAAAAAGCAATAGATTAAAAGCATATATCCCATCACTTTTATTTTTATGGATTTATTGGCCAATCTGGTTGAAATTAAGACACTCAGACTGCACTAAACTGAAGGAAACCAGATGTCCTTGTTAAGTGCCATATAAATATCCTAATACATATAACGTGTGAATCATGAGGAACCAAAAAGAACATTTTCCCTCAGTAATGGCTGCCAACCATAGTGTACTATTTACAGATGAAATGACTATCATTCTTAATGGAAAAGAAAAATACCCAAAGTTACTTACGTGAGGACATAATTCACACTGACGATGCAATGGGGTCTGGACGACCTGCTGTTGTGCACAATAGTAGCATAGCTCTGTACCCACACCCATCCTCCTTGTTTAGCCAAGAACCGATAATACTTTGTGGTGACTTGTCCTTTCACAAGTACTGTATCATAGACAGAAACACACATTTTAGTTGTTGCAGTACATTTGTGTGTGAGCTGTGTTGGCAGCTCATAACTGTGCATTATGCTTAGGGATTTACATGACTTTAGAATATAGGCACTCAATGTAACATTTTCCTTGTGTTTAAAAGTACTACAGAACCTTGTGGAAATGTCATGTCTATGGGAACTGAGCAGACCCTGACAAAGAGCAGTCAGGAAAATAGCTATGGGACAGGTTAGATCATTTATAGAGTTATTCACAAAAGGGTGAAGAGTTTGGAGAATGCAGGAGAAGTGAACAATCTAGGACAACATAGATAATTTGGAAAAATTCTCCAATTCAGCTCACTTTCCAGTTCAGCTATGTTGTCCTAGATTGTTCCCTTCTCCTGCCTTCTCCAAACTCTTCACCCTTTTGTGAAAAACCCTGTTACTCTGATTGCTACTGCTTCTTTGTACAATTCATGTTGAATATGCCGCCTGGATTCACAGTCATCTAAAGACATTTAGAAAATGCCAGCGTGTCTCTTTGGACAGCTTAAAATTAGATGTTTGCCATAGTATAGTAGACAATATGTTTGATGTATTCTTTAATGCTCTCTTAAATGTAATCCCACAAAACATGTTAAATTGCTAAATGTGTTCTTACAAAATGTAGTCGTTTCTGGCACCATTATGTAAGGCAAAATATGTAGGGAGTAAAACTGGCGGAAGAGATTTGTGGCAAATTTTACTGTATAGTTTAAAGGAACAAAAGAGATTGGATGAAATATAAATAGATAGTAGACATGTGCAATGCATTTCAGAAAGATTCATTATTGTGACAAATTTTTGTTATTCGGATATATTAACCAGTTGACATCCGCGGTGTTAAACCCCCCTTCCCATCCAGGCCATTTTTCAGTATTCAGCGCTGCGGTACATTGTGGGTCTGCCGTCCGTCCGTTTTTTCTTAACAGGCGGACGGCAAGAGGTTAAATGACAGAAATGACGAATGAAAACGAATCCGACATCAGACAAAAGAAAAAAAAAAGACTTTTCTTTTTTTTTACAGTCTGCAGAAGAGAAAAAAAAAGTGTTAGGTTCCCCACAAATGATACTAGGCCCTCTAGGTCTGGTAGGAATGTTAGGAGGGACCCCACACCCAAAAAGTGGGGGAAAAACATGGGTCCCCACTAAAATTCCTACCAGATCCTTGATCCGAGCACAAGCCCAGCTGAGCAGGAAAAGAGGGGGCGATCGAGCGCCCCCCCTCCCTGCGTCTTACCAGGTGACCGCCCCCCCCTTGTGAATGAGTAAGGGGTACCCCTACTCATTCACTAAAGGGTTAAAAGTCAATGTAAATAAAGAAACCAAATTTTTAAGAAAAATCCTTTAAGTGAAAAAAACAGAGTAACTTTTTGACTATATTTTAAACAAAATGGCTCCATCGATGTAATCCAGCGTCAAGCATGGTGCACGACACCCGCTGACATTCTGGCCAGAGATGTAATTTTGCGGCGGTCTTCCTCGGGTTTAGGCAGGTCATCGTGCGGCAGGACCTTTTCTTATTTCAGTGGGCATTGTGCATCGTAATTGATAGGGATGCACCGATATATCAGCCGCCGAAACATATCAGCAGAAAATGCCACTTTTGGCATAATGCACTATGTCCCAGCGGGGAGAAGAGAAAGTGACACCGCTCTGCCGCCTATCACAGTCCGGCAGAGTATTTATTTCGGTTTTCAAATCTCCATATCGGTGCACCTCTAGTAATTGACACTGGATTGCATCGATGATGCCATTTTATAAAAAAACAAAGGAATAGTCAAAAATGGATTCTTTGGGGGGATTTTTCAATTAAAGGATTTTTTTTCTACAAGTGTGGTTTCTTTATTTACATTGACTTTTAACCCTTTAGTGAATGAGTAGCGGTACAAGTACCTCTTACTCATTCACAAGGGGGGAGCAGCATCTGGGTGCCCCCTCAATTAAAGGGCTACCCCGTTGCATATAAGCCTCCCTGCCCGTAGACCCCCACAACCACCGGGTCAGGGTTGGGGGAAGAGGCCCTTGTCCCCCTCGGCATGGGGACACCCTCCCTATGTTGAGGGCACATGGCCTGGTAAGGCGCAGGGACGGTGGGCCTGCCGGGCCTGTGCTCAAATCAAGGGTCTGGTAGTAATTTTAGGGAGACCCCACATTTTCCCCCACATTTTTTGGGGGGTGGGGTTCCCCCTTAAATTTCCTACCAGACCTAAAGGGCACTTTTTTTTTACTTGGGGGTCCCTCCTAACATCGCATTGGGGGGGAAACCTCATGCCTTTTTTTGTCTTCTGCAGACTGTAAAAAAAATAAGTATTTTTTTCTTTTGTCTAATGTCACTTTGCTGCAATGAAAATTCATCCAGAAACAAAAATTCAGACTACCCCTAACGAATTTGGTCCCAATTCGAATCCCGAAACTAATTGACTTTTGGACCCGAATCCCAAAAATCGAAATGACGGAAAATCCGAATGAAAACGAAACAAAACACATTTTTTGTGGTGCACATGTCAGATTGACAGATAGATAGATAGATAGATAGATAGATAGATAGATAGATAGATAGATAGATAGATAGATAGATAGATAGATAGATAGATAGATAGATAGATAGGCTATACCATTAGAGGGTCAACTAAGGGACTTAATTAGAACTTCCATTAGGGTACTACTTGTAGATGAGAAGCCTGAGAAGAAAGGCAACATGGCTGCCTAGTAAACTCCCTAACCAGTTAACATGTGCTATTTAATCAGTATACTATTAGTTGTTGTTTTAAAAAACAATACTTACATAAATGATGTGCACACCTCAGGTGAAATGTATCACATCCGTGCACATGATGATATAAGGTCTTTTCAATCAAATCTTGAGGTTCATATCCAGTTAGCTCTGCAACTCTTAAGTAAACAAAACAATAATTAGAGCATTTTCAAGTTACCTTGCATGGACTATTGCACAGCTGACAGACATGAAATCATGATAGTCAAGACCCACCAGGACAAAATTTACAACCAGCTGCACATTATTTAGGTGAATGCAAATCCTCCAAGTAGAAAATGTAGTTTTTAGTAAAATGAATCACACTATTATGCTATGTACATACAGTATATTTTACCTTGGTAAAAATACAAAGGTAAAGGTGCCAATACACTGAACGATTCTCGTACGGGAATCACAGGAAATCCCGCGATCGTACGAGAATCGTGCAGTGTGAATGAAGACGTGCGACCGTTTCTACTGTACGACAGTAGAAAGGTATCATGGCACACTCACAAGCCAGCATGTAAAAAAACTTGTCTCACCACTAAGGTTAATGAGGTTATTAACGTTTCTACTGTACGGTCGCACGTCTTTTGTCTAAGGAGCATGCTAGAAAACCAGCCAAACCAGCCACTGCCCGTTCAGCATTGAAAACCAGCCAAACCAGCCACTGCCCGTTCAGCATTGCGGCCGTCGGAAGCCCGCCCCTCAGGGGGGCGGGCTTGCGATGATCGCAAGTACGATTTGCCTGTCCGAGATGGGCAGATCGTAAGTTTTTTTAATTACTTAACAACCATTGCAAGACTAAGGTCTTGCGATGGTTGTAAAGTGTATGGCCACCTTAACGTTTCCAGTGTGTTCCAGCAATTTCAACATACAATTAATTCTCAACAATAAAAGTAATTTTGTAGATTTCATGATGTTACTAGAACATATGAACTTATTCTGAGCATATTTTCATAAATAACTGTTAATGATTACTTTAGTAATTGCACAGCATTAAACCCAACCTACCTGGAATCAAGGAATATCAGCTTCATATCAAGACTGGCTCTGAACATGAACATATTACTGTGAAGTTTGATTTCAGTTACTGCACTAGGTGGGAGTGAATGCCCAACAGCCACCAAGCCTACGTTCTGGTAGCAGCCGTCAAAAGGTGACATATCCAGACTATATTGTCTGATCTTCAAGTAACCACTGCAATGGATAACCTGTAAGATACAAGAAAGAAATTCCTACCACATTATCATACTGTTATCTACATTCTGTAAATAAACCTGTTTTATGGATTTTTTTTGTGAACAAGTAAAATAACCAGAGACAGACATTAAGGCAAACTTCTGCACTTTAGCCCTTCTGATTTGCAGTACTGTGGGTCCTCAGTTCAAATCCCAGGACAGGATACCCTCTGCATATTCTGCCTGTGCTTGCACTTCCTCCCACACTCCAAAGACATGCTAGAAGGTTAACTGGCTCCTGTCTTTATTGGCCCTATATGTATAGGGACCATAGACTGTAAGCTCCTTGAGGTTAGGGACTGATGTGCAGAGGGTAAAGCGGTAAGAAAATTGATGGTGCTATATAAATACCTGTAATAAATAAATCTGGCCTGAATTGCCCTCTTGCATCATCAGCCAAGGCTGCACATAGGGCCTCAACCTCTACCCAAGTGGAGATAAAGCCCTAACACAAAACCCCAACGTCTGTCGATCAGCTGTAAAATGCCAGAACTCAAGTGAGCAGGACATGATGGTAATAGATGACAGCTGAATAACAGAACATGGGGCTTAGTACCAATGGGAAAGGCTTAATCTAGAAGCCAAGACCAATTGGGACACAAGGATTTCCTGAAGACTAACTTAAACACTATACAAAGTACCAGCTACAGCTTCCCCCAAAACTAGAACAGGGCAGAATAATGATTTCCCAAGCCTACCCTTCACTGACCACATGCCCCAGCACAGGAGTTGTATTGGTGTATGTTCAGTGTCAGCCTTACACACAAGTTCCCCAATCTAACTCTGTAAGAGTAAAAATGTCATTACTGATCACTACTACAATTTAGACTCCCCACACTTCAAAAGGCAGCAGCGAGGTACATTATTATTATTATTATTATTATTATTATTATTATTATTAAGTATTTATATAGCGCCAACAG